TCAAAAACCATCACCAAAACTCCGAAAAAAATATTTCCAAGGATAATAATTCAAAATTTCAGATTTTTTTTCTTGTCATTATATTTACTCATTTCTTTCTGGGATATTTGATTCTATCAATCCATTATCAAGAATAATCACATCTTGGGGTATGTTTGTACAAATTACAGATTTAATCATGAACATAATAACTTCATGTGTACATTATTCTTTGAAAAATAATTTTCACAATGGTTTAATTCAGATTCTGTTATCAGTTCACTGCATGCACAGAAGCTTTTGTCCACACTTTAAAGATTAAAGTGTTTTCAAAGATTATGGCAGCAATGGGACCAGCCTGTGAAATTACCTGAAGGAATTAATAATTCACTGAAGGCGGGGCGAAAGAAATGTATGTTCGCTCATCACTAGTGACAGACCGAAGTTTGAGATGAGATCTATAAACACCTGATTTGCTCTGCTGGGCGTCAATGGGTTGGCGCCCTTTTAAACCATCACTTTCATGAAATGGTCAATTAACGAGAAATTCACTCTGAAAACAATGAAGCACATGACTTCGGGAGACGATAGCTTTTGTTGTGATGGAATAAAAGCTTCCTGTTTCCCAAAGCCGATTAGAAAATAGTGGTGCTTTGCTTGTAAATGTCGCGTTAATTTTGGCGCTGAATCCGAGCTTAAGGATCATAATGGTTTATCATTAGGAGCTTTCCATCTCCTACTTGTTTATAATCAATATATGCAGGACGAACCATTTACATGTCTAATACGGCGCTTAGGCAATATTTGTTGTTAGAGCGTGGTAATGCACACACACAGAAACCCGTTCACTGGACAACAAACGCCAGTTTTGATGAGTCCAACGCACACACATGGAACTCATCGGAGGGACAATTCCGCCTTTCCGGCCATGATTGCCTCCAAGCCCCGAGTATTGTCCTGTATGTAAATACACTTGGACAGGTATGCGATCAGAAATACCTGTTCATTATTGATCTGTCAGTGTTAATTAACTTTTGATGCAAATACCACTACGTTTATCATGTGCCGAAACCCACATTTGATTAGAAAAAGACAAAATATGCAGACGTTCCTCAAACGAAGCTCGACAGGTGACGGAACTTTCGTGCTTTATTATCAGGATCAGGAGACTCATTTCTTCCTGGAAATTACTTCTTTCATTATTCCTGTTAATAGTTCACAATCTTGGCTTAAAATATGCTCATCAGTAATAAGCCAGTCATATAACAGAAAGTTACAAACTTTGTGAAATGACATCGCAGTATGTTATTCCATATACACAAAGAATCCTCAATTGTAAAACTTTCTTCAGGTTACCAGACTATTTCGTTTCTATGACACAGACTGATTGACAAAATTCTTCAAAGTCAGTATTAATAAAAAATGTCCAATCAAATGCTGATCAAAACAGGAAAATGTCTTCAAATGCCGTAGGTGTCTTGCGAAAAACTTCTCAAATTCTTAATAAATATGCCCTCTTCACTGAACAATGTAAATTGTTAAACCATGAGGACAAATGCTCAATCAAACTGTTAGAAAAATACCACACAGTTTGCATGTTTACAGTTATTTCTAAAAATACAGATTTAAGTGATGAACCTGCATCAATTCCACACACTTGAGGCAGATTGTGTTTCAAAATACATTGGCAATGAAAGACAACATGCAAAGCCAATGTAAACAAACTTTCACCCCTTTAAGAAAGTTGAAGACATTATATTGCAACAGTTCTGTGGTATTTATCCCAGCCAACTCCAGTGTGCCGCGAAATGGGAAACCAGAAAATCAGTTGAATGCTAATTTTAAAAGAGCAGTCAAATCCATGGAAGGATTCATATTGCAATGGTAATTCCCAGTATTCTCTAGCTCTTTCAGACAAATTCATGATGGTTCTAGTTGACTGTGGATGGTGAAGAATACAGAGAGAGCAGTTAGAACTGGGTACCCCCCTTTGTTAGTCTGGGTACCCTCCTCTGTTAGTTGGGTACCCTCCTATGTTAGTCCGGGTAGCCCTATGCTAGTCTGGATACCTGTTATGCTAGTCTGGGTACCCTCCTTATGTTAGTCTGGGTACCTTCCTGTGCTAGTCTGGGTACCTCCTCTGTTAGTTGGGTACCCTTCTATGTTAGTCTTGGTACCCCCATGTTAGTCTGGGTACCCTCCCAACACCACAGGCTTGTCATTAGATATGGTTGCTTGTCATGTAAAGCAACACTCCCCAAAATGATTTTACAATTGAAACATAATGGCTGAATAATTGGTCCAGCAGTTTCTAAGAAGATGTTTACAGACAATGAAGTATTCCAAAACGAGCAGGCCATGACATATAAGCTCAAGAAGCAAAAGTGGAGTGAGACCTCCTCATGAAAGATGTACCCGTGAAGAATTGATCTTCAGTAACCCATGCTTGTCGTAAGAGGCGACTAACGGGATCGGGTGGTCAGGCCCACTGACTTGGTTGACACATGTCATCGGTTTCCAATTCGCGCAGAATCGATGCTCATGCTGTTGATTGCTGTCATCACTGTCTGGTCCAGACTCGATTATTTACAGATAACCGCCATATAGCTGGAATATTGCTGAGGGCAGCGTAAAACTAAACTCACTCACTCTTGAAAGATGTTGACCATTTTGTCAACCAAAGAATCAATTCCTCACAAAGACTTGGCTACTGGTGGTGTTAATGTTGGTGTTGGTCCAGTGGTGATGCTCACAGGTGGTGGTGATGGTGTGCTTGTGGTGATGCTGATGGTGATTGTGATAGTGGTGTGTTCAGGCTAATGTGACACTGGTTATTCAATGATCACTGTTGGTCTGGAATGCTCACAATAAGTGACATCCAAATCAAAGCTTGAATTTTATCCTCATCAAAGTTCATAAACATATACCTATATGTTTCACCTTTAAATCAAAAAGTAAGTAGATTAAAAATATCTCTTCAGGTTTCTCAAATTTATAATGATAATGTCACTGCCAAAGGCATACATCTGATAAATGTCATCACAGAGGGTAACATGTGGCAGCATCTTATTAAGAGCCTCCAGAGTCCAATATTAAAAGTCAAAGAATTCTTGTTGTAATTTAACAGAAGCCAGGAGCGTGTACAGTCATATACTTCTAAATATTCATCAAGTAAAAGCATAACGCTGATCAAATTTTCAGATGAATGAGTGAATGAATTGGAAATGTCTGTTGTAACAGTATCAACATATGGCTTATCAAATAGATCAGTCTGCTTCAAGACTGACTGACTGACTGAGTTTGGTTTAACGCCGCTTTCAGCAATATTCCAGCAACATCACGGCGGGGGACACTCACCAATATCCAAGCTAGATGATGTAAGTAATCCAGTGAGTGAGTGAGATAGCGAGCGGGCGAGCAAATGAGTGAGTGAGTTAATATTTATCGCCACATCAGCAATATTTCAGCCATATTGTGACGAGAGCAATTTAATTATCATATTAAAGATCAATCAATTTAAAAAATGAAAACCTGTTAATGATGAACAGTAAAAATACTAGAGCATCACAAATAAGGTAAAACTAGCATGTAATCATAAAAGGAGTAAGTAATCCACACTGAAACAGACTCCCAGTGACTGATATCATGAACAACCAATGATTCCAAGCTTAAGGGTACGTACAGACTCCATCAACACAACATTATGCTCAGGTTGGGATACTCACAAAAGTAGTAAAATATCCAGTTAAGAGTACATAGGATGGCGGGATGGTTTACATGTAAGATTGTACAGTTTTCATGATGGTATTACAGAATATATAGGGTTTTTTTAAAACACTTATTTGATTACAGATAAACAATTTATTAAATTTTAACACAAGTCAAAATGTCAGAACATCGAACCAACACGTCGTCTCATACGACCGCAATAGGTAGCCAGGAACCAGTTCTAACCTTGAAAGCACCACAAGTAACAAGGTTCTACTAAACCAATGATCATAAATCAGGGATATATCATGGAGTTCGTACCAACAGCCTGGGTACCTTGACAGAAGGGGACACAACTCTGCAGTAGGTTGTAATAAGACCACTGACGCACCTGTGTCCCGCTGCAAGATGAGTGTTTTCCCCGACAATGAAGTCGGAACATGATTCCACCTATAGCACGGCATGATATGTAGATAGATGAACTGAGCATGAACCTGCTCTACGAGCATCAGTTGCAGACAGGGTTTTATCTCTTGCTTGAGATACCTATTGTCCTTTGATGTCTAATGTAGAAAAGACCTGGACCATAAAAACACAGCCCTTGCGGTTTTAGTCTGTTCATCAATTCATCAAGTTGTGTTCAAATTTGTTTTTTTATTTTAAAGTGAAATTTCATTAACAAATAATAAAAAGGAACATTAACTCATGGCAATTTTGCCTCAAGACTCCACACTTGTATAGCTGCTTGATGGAGGTATTAACAGAATGTACACAATTCTAAGAATATTTCCTCCGTCATATAACATAATGTCCTCTTCATTGTTAGATAGGGTTTCCCTGACGATGGCTGACAATGACGAGGACATCTGAAGGATTTTACAGAGTGATGACCACCAAAATATGGTATTTGTGGCTATGATTTAATTGGGGTCGGGTATTTGAAGTAAAATATTTCCATCTCTAAAACAGAACATCCTAACCATCTTTCAAGTTATGAGAAAATCAAGGTTTGTGAGAAGAATTGATTGACAAAACTAGAATATTTACAGACAAGGGTATATCTGGAGAGATCTATTGTTTATATAACGCAGTTGATGAACAAGTCAATACAGTCACAGTATCTATTTCTGTAACAGGTTTCAACACACGAGACCGGCAACATGAAAATACCAATGCTCCGCTACTACTTGGCATGCATGAAGAATCCTTCTCAACAGCACTCTTTGGCCTTGATAGCCCATCTGTGGATTCTCGTCAAACAGCTTTTCGACATATGACCACAGTGTTCTTACAGAAGTAAAGACAATACTTACTGACTTGGGTGTAGAGATGATCAAACAGTGTCGGCAGTCGAGTATGATTGTCGTTATTGATTCCGTGAAATGAGCGTGGAATGGGTCGACAAGTACGCCGCTAATGAAGTGTCATAGTAGACTGTTTAAACAAAGAAAGACATTAATTCAGATAAGCCGAGGGAAAAATCAAAGATATAGCTGAAAAATGAAATGAGTGTTTACATCTCTACAATGTCAATAGCGTCCATGTTTAATGGTAAACTGTGCTAATTAAGTCATTTACAACAATGTATAACACCAGTGCTTCATGAAACCAACATGGCTATTTTTGATATTGGCGATGATGCAGAAAGATGACTGGGTATGTTGCTTCTATGCTATAACAGGTAGGAAGTGTTGTCAATGACAACGTCGTTGTTGTACTTGACCAGAAAATAAAATATTTTTACTCAATTTGATGTGTTGCAATAACATCACTAAAAGCTCCACGTTTCCAACATTAAATTTTCCATCCTGTGAACTGAAACACCCTTTGCACCTACGATGGTGTGGACATCATAAATTGATTCACAAATTGGATCTAAAAGCTTAGACAGGAGAAAATTGTTTTTGTACAAAGCATGTTCTGAAACACTATTTTAATAGCTGAGTTTGTGTATTTACAATACTACAGGGTAAACACTGGAATGGTTCGTCTTCATTAAACTGTGAACTGTAATATGCACTCAAAACAACCACAGCGACTCTCTGATGACAGTATCAATGTTTCACATACAGCTAATCTGCAATTAACCTCTCCAAGTGGGTCGTATCTCATACTTGTAAACAACACGTGTTAATTTGCATAATTCGTTAAGACTGCTTCTAAAAAAAAAACACCTAGATATCATGTATCCATTAAATACAAGGTTTCACAACCACTACAGAATCCTGGTAAGAAATTGGAATTACACGAAAGCCAAAAATTTGATTGTTATAAAAAGGAAACTAACTATGACTCTGAAATGTTCCTTTGAGTTGTCAATCTTCTTACCATACTTAAAAGCGATCACTTAAAAACATTCTTGCAGATGTATTTTACATCTTTTCTGATAACCAATTTAATTTCTCAAAATTACCTGTTAATGAAGAAACAAAACTAACTGTTTATATCGATGCTCACACTATCAATCATTTGTTCACCATATCAATGAGAATTTAATCAAACAGCAGAAGGTTTATTACAAATAGCATCATTTTCACCACATAACATATCGGGGAAAAAATGTTAAGATCAGAATTTGTATTTGTTTTATTTTATGAAACTTGCGTGTTCGGACTCCACTACAAAAAAAACCATTTATTATCATCCTGATCCCCGACTTTTTGTTCAATACATAAAAGATAATACATTTTGCAGTTATCAGTGAATAAATATTAATGAGTCAATCGCAGTCAATCTTGACCAAACTCTTGTATGTGCTGCTTCAACCTAAATGGTCCTTAAAGACGAGGTCATCATCTTTACCAAGAACCAGAGCCTAGAGTCCACACTTTAATGAGCCATATTATCTCATGGTGTTCTTGTCTATTACAACCTACGCTGAAGACACACATTTCATTCTAGACTGATGCCATGAATTTGAAATTTCTTCTCAGCCTCCTTGGGTCTGAAGAGGAGCCAAAGGGTCGTCTTTAATTGGACAGTGGTACGCATGTTGACATTTGACTATTGATTCGGGACTGATTACTCACAATGCACTCGTACTGCCGTGCGATCTCAGGTACACTAATGAAAGGTGCCGATGAAATGAACATGGTGGATCGAATTCAAGATGAAACTGACGACTCACTAATGAACGGTTGTGTTCATTACGGACATTTGCCCGATACTAGGCTTGTATTTCTGCGGCGGGCTGACGAACTGATTACGCAAAATGCTACCTTATTGCGTTCATTAGATCCAAAAAATTGTCCTAAATTGTCAACCTCATTAGCACTTGCTGATTGCGTTCCAATCATGCTGAGTGGGGAAGCTATATTTGGCATGGTTGGAAAAAGTAGGATGTGCTGTAGATTAGAGAGGTCTTATTTAAGAATTCTACCACCGCTAACATTTACCTTCACCCTGTAGAGCTTAAAGGGTCCACTGCTTCCGACTGAATAGATTGTCGACATGAAAATGTGTGGAATTGTGAATTCTTGGGAACATCAAAATATCTGATGCACTGATGGATTTATAATAAAATAATTCCAAATCCCCACTTATTTTTATCAAACAAACTCTCAACTGAACCTGACATATTATATTAGATTTTTTAAAAGAAATGTCAAGTTACAACTCTGATTTTCTTGAAGATTCAATCAGAAAAATCATATTTGCAAGATGACAGAGAGTTGGTGACAAAACAAAAGATTTCAAAGTCTCTATCCAAACTGATTTTTTGTTAAAGCTGAATTACATTTTTAAACTGATATTCAATTTTCATCAACGTGTGTGTAAAAGGATTTAAGTAAAATATCCCTTGATGACTAAAAATGCTGAAAATATTGTCAAATTAGAAACATAATTGAAATTAATTGAATGATGTGATTGTCAGAACTAATTTGAATTTCCAAAAATGTGACTGTTGCCGTGGCAACATGATGAATTTCTATCAATATTGAATAAAAGCTGTGAAGATTGTGTGCAAAATCTGTGGAATGTTCATTGAAATTTTACATGTAAGATGTGTAAAATTTAATTATGAAGAAGAAAATCAGCAAGTTTTCAATTAGCTCTGCACTAAAAAATGTGATGAAATAATGAGACCACACCTACCAGGATACAGAGTGTGTACACCCACTCCACGACTATCTCAAGTATGTCCGAGAAGAAATTGTCAAAATTTAGTTACATTCATTCTTGAAGCAAACAGCAAAATGGCAATTGCATTCCTGAACTGAAGGTCAGTAGTTTGTCACGCATTCTTAAAAACTTATCACACAAATACATCCCAACTTTACAGATTTGTCCTCAACAAGTTCAAGGAATTTTCAAGTCAAATTCTGTTTCAAGACCTATTCAAGCCTGTGCCCACCAATTACATAAAGTCATGCATTCAACTTCATATATGCATATATGCAGATAAATGACACCAAAAACATACCTGTGTCATGCACTTTGGTAGATCAAAGCTTGTGCTTACAATAAGCATTTTGCTTGGCTAAGTATGACTATTTTGACACTGAACTAATATGATACAAAATGACAGACACTGAGTGAGTGAGTGGACTTCAGTAGTGTTCTGATATATCATGGCATATAAGGTTAATATGGGAGGAGTGAGTGAGTGAAGTTTTATGCTGCTTTTAGGGGTATTCCAGTAACATCACAGCTGGGGACACCAGAAATGGGCCTCACACATTCTACCCATGTGGGGAATCAACCCGGGTTTTCGGGGTGACAAGCGAACGCTTTAACCACTAGGCTACCCTACCGCCCCTAATGTGGGAGGAAAGCTTAGTGATGCGGGTGCCGGACACAACCAACGTTATCCAGCTGACAAACCGAGGAACATAACTAGGCAAAACCAGGATTCAAACTCACAACCAAAGGTTTCTGACATGCCAAACACACAGCGAATCGCAGCACATAAACATACAGCCCACTCGTGTAGATGAATAACACTTAAATTTTGATATAGAAATCAGGAGTCATTCTGATAACTGGCAACCATTTATATCATACAATGCCATATAGCAATAATATCAGCCCCTTGTACGTACAGGGAAGATGAAACACACATGGAACTTCCCATATAGTGTCTTGAAAGCTTTGTGACAAATCACCTTCCTAGCCAATTAGCTCCAGGCAAGACTTTCACCGATTGCAGTATAAATGGCACAAATTACTTCCTTGGACTCTCAAGAACTCCAACCATGGAACCGAACAGAACCAGTTCCTTATTTCAGAATCTAACAAGTCCCATCACTCAATTTGACCAAAATGGATGTCTCCACAAACATCTACATCTCCCAACATTTCATAGCCATTCATTACTAGCTTCCAGCTTAGGCAATAATGTCCTGTCTGAAACAATTACTGGCCACAGACATATATAACAGATGTGTGCAGATGGATATAATAGATATGACAATAGGTGAATATGAAGTATATGACAATACGGATATAACAGATATATACAATAGGTGAATATGAAGTATATGACAACAGACGGATATAACAGAAATATACAATGAAGACTTCCTCTCACACAAAGGACTTTTCTTTTGACAAGGTCCTTCACATGTCCAGTGCTCCTGAGCTGAAAAACTATGTCTCTCCTCGATCAATACATCGCCAGTTCTTCTGAATCAGGATTTCGCCCATTTTGATATTTTGCCTTGCAACTCGTAATGATGCCAAATTATCACCATTCTCTTCATTCCTGCAGGGGAAAGCAGGGTTTGTGATAGAAAGTTCAATTTGAATCTTTCTTCCTCTTTTAGCCAAAGATGGATGTAGGGTCCTTAAAAACACAGATTGGGGTTGAATCCTTCCTGGGACAAATCTGCGCCCCTGGCTGCGGACTTAACCATCAGGAAGGAAGACATATTTGGCTGAACAATGAACAGTTAATTATACAAGTGTTCTGCCCTAAGATGGACCACAGCCAAGATGCTCTGTAATAAATTGGTTTGGGATTAATTTTCATATCAAATATTTGAAATAGCTCACTTTTCAAGTGTCATATTAAATTTTCTTGTTGAAGCTGAAGTTTTCAACTTTCTTTAATAGATCTGGCTTTATGTTATCTATTATAGGGAAGTGGAAAAGGGCAGATATTTTTTACCAAAGTATTCATTTGATGAAAGATGAGTGTGAATGTGTTATTGAGACCCCAGACATCAGTTTACAGACGAACTGCATCTGGTGCTGTTTTCTGATGTTGTTGGGGTGCAGACTGACACAAGCTTAACCACCTGAAGTGTGCTTGCATGTGTGAGGGTATGTGTGTGTGAGGGCATGTGTGTATGTGTGTATGCAAGAGATCATACAAGGGGTGGATACAGCTTTTGAGAAAGGGGGTGCACACTATTGAGAAAGGGGTGCACACTTCATTTTCACGAGCGTTTCAATGGTCATTTAATATAATTTTAGGACAAAAGGGAGGGTGG